TCACTGCTACCGTCTTCAGGCCGTCGGCTGAAAAAAAGGTGGAGCACAACTGATCAGGTCTCGAAACATTTCTTTTTGCATACCTGCACCAGAGCAGGTAACATTAAAATTACCTGCACCAGACAAATATTAGGCCTAGGAAAAAAATGATATGTTTCCTGTTTCGTCCTGAAAAAATTAGGGTCGGTAGGTAGGAATTTTCTCTTTTTTTTCAGACTTTGGCAATCTCTAGTGAACTTATTATATAATACATGGAAAAACTTGCATGGAGACACCTCTGTTTTGAATTTAAAAAAAACAAACAAACAATTGTACAATGTTTCATCACTCAGGTGTCAGATCACTGAGCTAGAAAAGGTCGATCAGCTCAAAAAATTTACGTCCCTTGCAGGGGTCCACACAAAAAAAGCTAGTGTTGGCAGTTTTTTCTAGAGTCAGTTGGGAAACACAACATTTTTTCCTACTTGCCTTATCTGCACCACTCAGACTTTGAGAAGTATGAATCATACTAGAAACTGTTCAGAAACCATTGCCATTATTTACTGTATGGTAGTAACAGTGAATGCAGCAAATATAAATCAACATACATGTACATGTACATTTAAGGACAAAATACAATACTTTCAGTTTTGGGGCCTTTCCACCCAAAATCCTATTTGTAAATGGTGATTTATTGGTTTCTGCCAACCCCGCACATATTTGCGCTGCGACTGGACCTGTGACGTCACCACCGGTTATATTCTAACCGGTGGTGACGTCACAGGTCCAGTCGCAGCGCCGCCTAGCGGACAATCGGGCGCTAGCCAGGGAACATCGAGCATGTCAGATATCACCGCAAATATGTGCGGGGTTGGCAGAAACCAATAAATCACCATTTACAAATAGGATTTTGGGTGGAAAGGCCCCAAAACTGAAAGTATTGGATTTGTCCTTTAAATTGCAACGATTACCGTACGCTGCATAATACATAATTTTATCTTAGCATGATTATGGTAAATTGTATTAGTTGAAGGTAGAAGTTGGTTGAGAAGTTATACCAACCATAGAAGCCCAGTTTGGGGTGCTGGCGGACCTTGAGTCCTCCTTTTCTCTTGGAGGCAGGGTTCAGCAAGTCTCTGACCTGTTCATTATAGATCTCCAGCATACTGAACTCAACCTGGGGATTTGGAAGTAATGATATAGATTAACTAGAGAAGTAACATTTTCAAAGCAAATGCATAATGTTTACCTTTGGACATGGTCTGCTCTGTTAATTCTTACTCAAACACAGTCACATACATGTACTACTAGTATATGGTGACAGGAGCAGAGCAGACCATGAAATTGCAACATTAGGTAACCCAACACCAGTCACCATGGTGACAGACATCAACAAATCATGTCATTGGTCAGGTCAGAGGTCACTGTTTGGAGTGAGAAGAGGAAGAAACAGAGCAAAAACAATGTTTTCCTTCGGTAAACATAATAAATCATGAATAAAGTTGTCATTTAAGATTTGGAAGAACATTTTAAACTTGGAAAATCTGAAGTATGTAGTTAATATTATGTTGAGAGCCAAAAGTCAATGCCTTAAAGTTATGATGACAGTACATAAGGAGACAATCTTGCTCAAGCGGTGATACAGTTATAGGTTTAATATTAACATTCAGCTATACTGAATAAGCTACTCTGTACTTTGCTTAAAATGTTTTTCCAAATTTAAACTTGAAGTCTTCTGTGTACTGATTCAATCTCACCACATGTAAATTAAATGGTGACCATAAAAAATGAATTATGGAACTCAAACTACTGTTTTTAAATATCAGAGGATTCCAAACCTCAAACGATGCTGCTTCTCCTCCTGATTTCTTCTCCTCTATCTGCACGAAGAGTTTGTCACAAAACAGAGGCACGATACCTGAAATGTGCGGAAAGAACCATTGTAACCAATAATTTAAAAACTGATGACTGCAATAATTCAACTGTTGCTTCTAAGACAGCTCATCCAACCAAAACAATACTTTTGTATACCGAGAAGTATTGTATTACTAATATTACTAAAAAATCATTTGTACTTGAAATTGATTGTACAGTAATTTTTTTAATACAGAACATCATAATGTCAGATGAACACATTTCTTGTACCTGCCTTGCACCCTCCTCTTGATATTGTACCAAGAGATAAAGGGCTGTCCCAGGCTTTTAACTAGCATTATTCATATAGCATAATAGAGATGATTTCAAACAATGTCAGCATGCTTTTTGATACAGACAGGACCAGAAAATAAGGCAGAGTCTTTCATATCTTAAACGATGGACAGCAGAATGACTCCCACCTTTGTTGGGTCCATATCCCACGATAGACCATGACTTGCCGGCACCTGTTTGACCATACGCAAAAAGCGAGCAGTTGTAACCTTCCCAGGCATTGGCCAGAACTCCCAGTCCCACATCCTTAAACACCATGTTCTGAAAAAAATCATTCTAAAAGTTACAAGAAGAAAGAAGAACTTTATTGCACGACACTTGCACAAGGTACAATGTATGGCAAATTACATAAAGAGTAACAAACAATAAAATAAATGTTGGAGAAGACCTAATGTCAAATAAAACCTAACATATCTTAATTATTCAAACAGTAAGGGCTAGCACAAGTCTTTGATAATTTAAAAGTGTTACAATCGAGTGGACTAATCACAAGTTTCGGTATTTTTTCTAATGACAAAACATTCCTTTATATATCTAACTATTTTTGCGTTGTGGGGACCATTACATCTAAAGATATATCCAAGTCTGTGTTAAATGAGGTTCAATTATGAAGGGGTTTGAAAATCTCACTAGGTGAAAAATAGCTAGCACTTCTTGAACCTGGTCCTATTTATTACAACTTATGGCCTTCAACTTAAAAGTCATGGAGTTGTCTTGCAAGGGATGAATAGGATGCTAGAGTAAGTAAGTAGAGTGGATTCTTCAAGCTAAGCAACATCTATGATCTAACGTTATATAAAGAGACAAAAAGAGAGCCCAAAGGAAGGAATCTAATAGTATGTGTTGTTCAAACCCCACAAGATGCTGAGAATCCAGGCAGAGTTAGAAGCCAGAGGAAGAAAACAGCCAAGGAAGAAGACAAAACCTTGAAAAAGATGGACTTTTCTTTATTTTCAAATTGTGTAATCAAGACTTGTAACACATGTTTGTG